TTAACCCATGCTCATACAATGAGGTTCTTTTTCTTCTGAGAAATTTGTTTTACACATGTAATTAGGAGCAAAAATTTATTTTTACAAAAAAACATGAAATATTGCCCGTTGAGTGTAGAAGATAAGTAAATAGTTGAGCGTGGTCTAGTTGGATTTCACATATCAATATTGATAGTAGGAGGGTACTAATAATACTCCAACTGTCCAACACATTGTGTCATGCTTGGAAATGATTTTAATTTACTGTGTACGAGTGATCACATATGCGAATTGATTGATATTAAATTAACAATACAATAACTTGCATATAATTTTTTGAATTTGCAGTTATAGAAAATATCTGCAGTATCTAATGCATTGATTTGACAAATATGAAAGAACCAACATACAATGAGGTTCTTTTTTTATTTAAAAGAAATTTGTGTCTCTTGGCTTGAAATTCAACTTTGTTGTACTGTATAATTTTATTTTAAATTTTACATTCATTTTTTTTACAAAAGATATTTTCTCTTATATAGTATAAGAAATTGAAAATAACTCAAAAAAATTAAATAATTTACTTCAAATTAATATTTGATTTACAAATTAAAACTTGCATAACTAATATATGTATAATCCTATTTTATTCTTTACCCTACCTCCACCTCTACCTCGTACTCTATTTTCTCTTTTAAGTTTATCATTCAAATTGTTCATGTGTGAGATTATGTAACAATGAAGAATAATACCATCTATCTAAACATTATAGTCATTAAAACAATATAGTACGATACGTCATGAAACATTACTTAACAACCATCAAAACAAATTGTTACGCACTAATAAATTTCCAAAGTGGAGTGACCTTTTGAGATATTAACTCTTTGAATTATGATGAAATGAATCACTTTAGCATATACAATTCTAGAAAGCCAAATTCCAAAAACATTTGTTTTATGAAAGACAATTGTATTTCCTTTTACTTATCGGTTTCGTTTTTATTTAAATCGATACGTATAATTATATGATTGTTAATTACCTGTCGTATATTGTAGTTAAATTGATACGTAATTTATACATTGTTTGGATGGTTGTTACCCGTCATACGGTATTGTATTGTATTATTAATTTAAATATCAATTAATCAACATATGGTGAGAATACTCTTTCAGTAAATTGAAACCATTTCATACACTAGTTAACAAAGTGTATTACCCCATCTTAGAATGTTCTTTTTATGATTCTTCCTCTTCTTACGGTTTACAATGCTTTCTTCTTCTTCTGTATTGAACTCTTCACATCGAGCTTATTGCTACTAATTTGATAATTCTATATATAGACGTGATCAACAAGAATTAATTATTGGAGATAAAAAAAAATCAACAAGAATTAATTATTGGAGACGTAAAAAAAGAATAATTTAATCATTGGAGACATAAAAAAAAGAAAAAAAGAGGCTCAGATGCAACATTTTATCGTCGGATATCAGACATTGTAGAGACCCTAATCTCACAAATTGTGCATTTATCATCACAGCACTCACAATGCACCAGCCGGGAATCGAACCCGGGTCTGTACCGTGGCAGGGTACTATTCTACCACTAGACCACTGGTGCTTGATGTTTTAAGGCTTCAACTTGTTTTAATTATTCTCTCCATTTTTATTCATATGTCATCCTTATTAAAAAAAGATAATTCTTAATACTCCCTCCGTCAACTTATAATTGTCACGATTTCCTTTTTTAGAGTCAAACGATAAAAACTTGACTAACATTTTACGATGTAGTATTTTTCATCATATTGATGATATGCAAAAAATTGCAATTTATAGTATTTTTCGTATAGTTTTTGAATATCTAAATTTTTTGCTTGAATTATTGTAATTTAATTTAACTTTGAAAATTAGTCAAATTGACTTTAAAAAAGCGCAATATGACAATTAAAAGTGGACGGAGGGAGTATTTGTCATTTAACAAAATCAATGCATAAATGACACTATTTTTCTTATTTACCTTGATACTTATTAGCGTTGAAAATATGAATTTGACCAACGTAGAAAAACTAAATGATTAATTCATGTTCATTGGTCAATGTTTAATCAAAATAAATTAATTTATGTTCATTTATTGAAAACTTGACTTCAAAAGAATACTAAATAAGGGTATAATGCTAAACTTACATAGTTTCTTAAGAGACGTGAAATCTAAAATGGTGACATATATAAATAGGAACGGAGGAAGTACCTTTTTTTCCGGGTAAATAGTTGTAATATACCAGAGGTGTGAATTGAAGTAGTGTGGGGGGGGGGGGGGGGGACATGCTACTGGACAATCGTCCCATCCATTTTTTTCAAAAACATTTTTTGGGGCGAGTCTCGAGGCGGGGCGTACCAAAAACGCTCCAGGACGCAAATTGAAGACGTAGATCCATAGGGTGTAAGTTCTAGAATTTGGGGCGTAAGCTCCAAGCGTAAAAACGTAAGCCCTGAGCGTAAAAGTGTAAGCCCTAGGGTTAAAACGTACGCCCTGGACGTTATGTTTATTTATTTTTGGTTTTTGATCCTTTTTGCTTTAAATTATAGTTTTTATTATTAGTGTAATGATATTTTTTGTCATACTTTGTTTCTTCACTATTGGTTATTAACACCTTTCTCAAATAAAAATCATAATATTTTTTTCTATATATTATAGGTTATTTATTAAAATTTATTTGTAAAATAATTGAAAATTTTACTTTTGCTTATTTTCTTAGTAACAAAATTATAAAATTGAATATACGTTAGACTACGCCCCGTAGATCCATAAGACTTACGCCCTGTGTCTCGGGGCTTATGTCTCGTCCCGTACGACATAAAACGTCTCACATCACACCCCGTCTTTTAAAACACTAGTCCCAGCAGTGAGTTCAAGCTACTAAACCAAAATAACTTATAGATTGCCATTACTGCATTACACAGGATACTCATTAAAATTTGCTAACCAGGTTGCTACTCTAGTCTCACTTTGTGCCTTACAATGGATTTCTAGAATGATGTTTTTGATCAAGATCTTTGGTTGTTGATTCTTTTGCTGGAAGATGCGCATGTTCCTTTCTCTCTAGATATGGCAAACTACTCCTGCTTATAATATCATTCTGTACACATAATTTCTTGGCTTTCTTCCTTTTGCCCATGTGAGTTCATCATTCCATTGCATAGGATCTCTGTTGATGTTCAACCATTTCAACATCTTCCATACATATACTGATACATCATTATCAAAGAATAAATGTGCAATGCTCTCATTTTCCTTTTCACAGAGGGGGCAAATCAGACTTGTTAATACCCCTCATTTGTGCAATCTATCGTGCGTAGTAAGTCTCTTGTGCGCAACTAGTTGCAGCATAAACACCCACCTAGGCAAGCCCATATTATTACAAGTTAATTTTCTCTATGAAACCTTCCGGTATTGCCCTCTCAACTTGTATAGAAATCGTTGGTGGAGAAGTAAGACATATCGTGGTTAGACCAGGCTGCCTGCTTTGGTAGGTCCTCTAGTAAGTTTCTCCTCCCTTCATAGTAGTTATGGATCCATTTTACCCAAAGCCTATCTTTCTTGTTGCAAATGTTCCATAAGAGCTTAGCTATTGCTGCCTTATTCCAAGTAGAGATGTCAAGGATGTTTAGACCACCAGCTGACTTAGAATAGCAGACTCTATCCCAAGCTAATAAAGCTTTCTTTGATATTTCAGTGCCTCCAGTTCATAAGAAGTTTCTGCAAGTTGCTTCAATTAACTTAACCACCTTTTTTAGCAGGATGAAGATCTGGGACCAAAAAACTTGTATGGAGAACAAGACAGACTTTATAAGTTGAGCTCTACCAGCATAGGACAGAAACCTAGTGGTCCACGACTTGATTTTGTTAAGGATCTTGTCTAAGATATGTTGGCATTGTACAATAGAAATTTGTTTTGAACTCAAAGTGAGACCCAAATTTTTGAAAGATAAAGCACCCATACAGAACCCCAGGACCTTTTGGATATCTATTTGCATATGAGTTTGACACACCAATACAATAGAGGGAGCTTTTAGAGGGATTTGCAATAAGACTGAAAGCTTTAGAGAATTCTTGAAATTTAGTAAAGAGTAACTGGATTGATTGGACATCTCCTTTGCAGAATAATAAGAGATCATCAACAAAAACTAAATGAATCAGGTGCAACCTAGTGCATCTAGGATGGTACTTGAATAGGGGTTGAGAGCTGAGAAGTTTTAAGGATCTACTCAAGTATTCCATGGCAAAGACGAACAAAAGAGGAGATAAGGGATCTCCCTGTCTCAACCTCTTTTTGGCATTGAAAGGTTTGGTTGGATGCGCATTGATCACAATTGAATATGATACAGTGTTAGCACACGTCAAAATCCATCCCACAAACACCTTTGGGAAGTGCAAAGCAGTAAGAACTTGCTCAAGAAAATCCCATTCCAAAGAATCATATGTCTATCTTAAGCATACATCTCAGAGGAAGTACTTCATTACGTTATTATTGAAAATATGCAAGTTACCATTTCAAATATTCCTATAAAATAAAATCTGGTTGATCTAGCACTTGCATATATAATTATAATTTTTACAAAAGATTTTTGTTCTCTACATCCCAACATGTTTTGGCAATTGCAGCCTTATTCTAGAGTTGCACATAAGTTAAAATTAAGTCCACCTCCAACTGGAATGCAACTTTATCAGAGACCAACAATGCCTTCTTCCTTGATCTACACATTGATAGAACCAAGTTTAGCGAAAGACGATGGATGCCTTATATATCTTTCCTGTGATAGCAACAAGCTATTTCCCATGTTTTTTCCTCCCTAATATTCATTTCCCTTGGTATGAAAGTTTATTTCCTTTTTTTCTTTTCTATTCCATTTTTATTATTCAAATTGGTATGTATAATTTATATGGACTTTGTATATGTGAAGTTGTGATAAAACGAGGCTTGAGAGTTACTATCTTTAATAAATTCTCACCAACTAAGTGAAAGTTCAGATATTGAAGAACCACTAAGATCCCCATCTTAACACACTTTTCTTGATACAGTAATAAAGACCCTTTCAAATAAAATAATTTCAGCAATTACATCAATTCACTTTAGAAACAGAAAAATATCATTAACTATGATAAATTTATTCCAAAGTAACAAGAAAAATATGGTAAAAGAATAAAGTGAAAAGTAACAACAAAGTATGAAAAAAAAAAGAATGAAGAATCCCAATTATTCTACATTTTCCTCCCTGCCTTGTTGTAATCACACAGAAGCTTCAATCCTAGGCTGAAAAGAGAAAGCACAGCTGAATTTCCCAGAACAAGCAGGCAATTCAGTCCACTCATTTTCAGCCAATTTACACAAGAAATACCTACAACTCTCATCATCATCAGTCGAACCAGAATTTGAAATGCAGGCAAACATGTGTTCACTACTTCCGGTGCAGTTGATGTCAACTTTCTTGCTATAAAACTCATGTGAAATTGCTGATGGCATTGCCAACACCTGATTCCATGCCCATTCATTTTCATCAAATTTCCATATTCTGAGACTAGCTGTTTCAAGGAATTCAGATAGAACAACTGCTAATAGCTCTCCTTCGCATTCAACTAAGTCGATTGAGTACTCGTGATGAAGAGGGAGCAATCTTGGGTACTCGAAAAAGTGTTTTTCAGTAAGATTGCAAGCCACCACTTTCCCGGAAGAGTTCAAGAAACAGAGGATTTCTTGTCCATCGCCTTTCGTGGTGGTTATTGAAGAGTATTGCTTACATGGGTTTTTTTGTATTTCAGTTCCTACTACATTCCCACATTTGCTCAAGAAATAGAGCATTCGATCATCGTCTTCTTCTTCTTCATCGTCAGTACTGCAGGATTGTGCTGCAGGGCAAGTAGGAGATTTCTTACTCAGAATTGCAGAGTCTTCCCAGCTATCTGTAGTGGAATCATAGATTCTGAAAGAAAGATTCGGAATTTCTCCGAAAATTAAGAAGAGTTTATACGATTCCTGAGTAGAAATCATTCCAATGGCAGTAAGGGTATCGGAATAATCCAATAAAGGAAGCTTGCGATACGAGGAAGTAACAGGGTTACAAATGAGGAATTCACCATTTTCGCCGTTATGAAAACAGAGGAGTCCACCAGAAGAAGCAACAGGTAGGAAATTCGACTGATTAAGCTGATTTTCTTCAAGAAAATTGGATGGGTAGGTGAGAAATTTCCAGTTCATTTCAGCAGAATCATAAACAAAGTGTTGTTGATTCTTGAATTCGACTGATTGTGAAGAATCAACCATGTAGAACCAAGGTTCTCTTGATGGAATTTCAGAGCAGGCATGGTGGAAAACAGGGGAATTAGCAGCAGATTTCCACCTCTTGCTGACTGAACTTAATCTTAGAAAAGTTGAAGTTGGAAGCCATGAAAGAACCCTTTCAAGAAGATCTTGATTAAGTTCATCCAGTGGAAAAACAAGATCTTCATCTTCAAATGATTTTCTCTTTAAATTCCTCCTAGAAGCCATGAAAGAGAGAAGGAATTGGATACTAAATTTCTAATGTGGGGGGTTTGACATTGGAATGTAATGGAGTATATAGATATATAAAGAGAGGAAAGTGGAGGGGGTGTGGGGAAGCTTCGTAAAGGATCTGTTTATTGTATTTTATTTGCGTTGACAATAGAGTAAAAGTAAAAGTGAGTTGGGAACACTTTTTGGTGTTGAAGATTTGACAAAAGAAGCAGCTTTGGAATTGTGTGTGTGTTTTGGATATTGACAAAGAGCATCTCATATTCCCAACTAATGTTGGTTTCTTGTTTCTCTACCATTCACTATCTAATACTCACCAATAGGTAATGTGTGAGAATAGTTAAACCAAAAAAAGTATTGAAAACACATTTGAATCTAAATTTGACTTTGAATGGTTAGTTTCGTTTTTAAATTATTAATAGTTTTAAAAATACATATCTACTTAACTAACTAAACTTAAATACATCTTCGATTTGTCACATGATATAACAAGTGATTTCAACACTCATGTGACAAGATGAAGGTGTATTTAAGTTGAAGCTGAAGTTGTATAATTATATTTGAACTCTTGAAAAAGTTAAAATTTTGTGAGGGGAAATTTACTGAAGAAATGGTCAAATCAATTTTTCAAACTCATAAAAAAGAAATAATTTAATAATCATTCGAATACATACGTGAACAATATTTTAAAAATGTTTTTTGAAAGAATAAAATAAAATCTATGTCCAAACATGTTGACCGTGTGAACAATTCCAACAGAGTAGATTACTCATTACAATATGGATTACTGAATTGACTATATATTGTGGTATGACAGAATTGAAATTATATTTCTTACTCCAATTGAAATTATATTTCTTACTCCAATCATCATTCGGAGGTAACGGAATTTTTTTTGTTCCTCATTATTTGTCTATTTTTTTTTTTTAGTTGATTCTAATTACTTATTCATTTTCACAAATCAAAAAAGAATAATTTTTTTTTATCTATTATATCCTCAATTAATTACTTTGAAAAAGGTATAACTTGTTGAAAATCTTAAGTTTATAATTCATTTACTTCATAATTAATAGAGATAAAATGGTAAACTCACTACGTCAATAATTGTTTTCTTAATAAGTGTGTCAATTCAAAAATGGACAAGTAATTAGAGACAGAGAGAGTATCTATTTTCAATTCTTTACAGAGTTATACATATACGAGGGTGTGACATACGCATATTAGGTTAGAAAATTAGTACACAGTGGAGTGTTATTTTGCTTTCCAAATGTTTAGATTTGTAGTTGTACTAGCTATATTATTGTAGTTCATGTTTTAGAAACAAACATTATACCTTCACAACATAACAATAAAATATGCATATACTATATACAGGGATGGAGCTACCCTAGAGTTCATCGAAAAATTACATTGTAATTTGTATATAATAGAAAAAAAATTGATTTAATAAATATATAAACAATTGTTGACACCTCTTAACACAAAATGAAAGTTTAGTGTAATGATTAAGGGGTTGACACGGCTTATACATTTTTACTTTATGACACCTTTTAATAAAAATCTTGACTCTACCACTGATTATATATATCCTCATCATACTCCACCGTGCATTCTATCTTTTCAAATTGGCTTTGTGAAATTTAGATGAATATGGTATAGAAAAGAAAAGAAGAAAAGAAAATGGAAGGAGAGAAAAGAGAAGGGTCACGAGCAAGGCTGGGCACGGGACCGGAATGGGACCACCGGACCGGAACGAACCGGAACCGGACGGTTTGACCGGGTTGTTGACCGGTACCGGGATGAACCGGACCGGAACTACCGGGATGGAGGCTCAGTTCCGTCCCGTCCCACTATATACCGGGATAGAACCGGGACGGACCGGAATCGACCGGAACGGAACGGGATGGGATAAACGGGACGACACTGTCGACACATATAGCTATTTCAAAAAATAATTATTTTTTTTGAGTTATTTTGAATTACGAAAATACGAATGTTTTTTTTATTTTTCTAAGTTATATTCGTTTATAGTAATTAAGTTTTAAAATTTATAATAATTTTACTTAAGTTTATTTTAAAGATATTTTTTTTAATTTTTACGTATATAAGTTTGTAAGTTAAGTTTAATAAAGTTTTTTTTTTTTTAGTTTTTGAGCTTATGTAGTTATGTTATAAGTTTTAAAGATTTGAATCTTTTGAAGTTTATAAGTTATTAAGTTATACTTATAACTTGTAAGTTAAATAACTTAAGTTTGTAATTTTTAAAAAATTAAATAAACAAAAAAGAAATGCTAATAAAAGTAAATAATGAAAAAAATATTATTTTTTATTTTAATTAAAAATGATTTACCGGGACCGGGATGAACCGGTACCGGTATACCGGTACCAAATCATGGTACCGTTCCGTTCCGTGTACCGGTTCAACGTATCCCATCCCGTCCCGAATACTACCGGACCGGAACGAACCGGAATGGTACCGGAACGGACCGGAATGGTACCGGTAGGACCCGTTCCGGTGCCCAGCCTTAGACTCACGAGTGGGATAAAGAAAAGAAAAAGGGAAAAAGCAAAGGGTAATATAATAGGGCCCTACCATTGAAGGGAACAATAAACTAACGAGGAAAAAGTCACTGTCATCAAGGCGCCGCTCTCTTTCTCACTCTTTTTTTTTTTCATTCATAAAAGACAACTGACTTGGGGTTGGCGGTGGTTGAGCTTTGGGAGGCTAGGGGTTGGGACTTGGGGTGGGGGGTTGCTCTCCATTATTATTTTGGGTGTCATGCTTGATATTTATATAATTCTTTATATAAGAATACACACTTGTATAGTTAACAATTCAACCTGCCTGACATCCCATCCTTTACATAGATCAATCTTTGACTCAATCTATCAAGAAAATAAAGATTTTGAGATGTAATTGCATGATGAACATAGAAAAATTTGGCTATGTGAATTTTAACTTGGCTTGTAAGGTGTCGATTCTCCACCTAATAATTGTTTTTCCCTTTCCCTATGCTAAAAAAAAAAGAAGAGGGAATAGAAAAGATTATTACAAGGGCTTGGTAAAAAAAATTATGGTTGATTAAGTGGCTTGTTCAGGGCTAAACAAATAAAGTCTTTAACTAAATTGCCTTTGACTCAAGAAAAGAGAAAAAATAAAAGAAGAAAAGGCAAACATAACATTTGTCAATTCCAAGTAAAGCAAACTCTTTGGCTGAAGTTGAGGAATCTATGCCTCGTGTTGAACCTACTTTTTCCCCCTAATATTATACTCTATGATATTAAAATGTGTGTGTACTTTGGTAGTTGTCTTTTGGTTTTGTCCATTTTTGTGCTTTTAAAGTCAAATACTTGGACAACAGAATCCAAAGCTAACCCATCCAATTTCTCCATCCTTCTACTGTATAATAATTGACTTTGGATGCTCGAGGCTGAAAACCCACAATAATATTTTATTAATTAATTCTATTCAAATAAAGCCGTCAATTACGATATCTTTTTTCTCTCTTCCATACGCGGTACGCCATGTCCCCATTTGTGGGATATTACAAAGGGTATGTTGTTGTAGTGTCATACTTCCTCCCATCCATTTTACTATCTTTCTTTCGATAAAAGGCAATATTTTACTATCACATATATTATTATTATACATATAATCTAAAATATTACGTATTTTATCTTTATTTATGAGTTTTATATCATATAATAAGGAAGATATACTAATTAGATGTATATATTTTTGCTATTAGAGATATACTAAAATAGGAAAAGAGGTGAACAAGATATTCATATATCTCATATACATGCAAATCACATCAAATACATATATCCTACGTATCTAATGTGATTCACATGTATATAAGATATCATATACATGGGAGAGTGGCGAGCGAGATGGGATGGAGCCGAACGAGATTTGTTATATATTCCAACTACATATAAATCCACTTGGACACAGTGTATTCAGAACAAATTATACCTAATTTTAAGCTCATGTATCCCGAGATAGGACACATCAAAATCTGGTAAGATTCGTAATATTGCAAACTAGAAGGTATTTAAGTAATTAACTTCTAAACTAGTGGGATTTCTTAAAATTTAAATCTTTTTTTCCACGCCTGAAGAAATTAATTAATATAAAAAGTAATTTAATTAAATTATCTTTGTAAAACCGATTTAATATCAGTTAAGTGAAATTATCAGTTTTAATGATACCAATATAATATATGATACTGATTTAGTGTCAATTATGTGAAATTATCAGTCTTAATGAATGAGGGGTATGAACTGTAATTTTTATTTTTGAGAGAATGAATATTTCTTGAATTACTTTGAATTGAGATATGAACATGTAATTATTTTGAATTTTATGCCCATTTATATAGTTTTTCCTCTTGCTTTTGCTTCGAGGCCTTTCAGATTGAGTTGTAATTAAGATAGTTGGTTGCAGTTGGCTTAATGGCTATAGGTTTGGGGAGTGGTATAATCGGAGCAAGTTGGGAATAAATTGAATATTTTTATGAAATTGTTGTAGTACACAAAAATTGGGCGCGATTTGATAAAATTTATGAAAAAGGATTCAAAATATCCTACAACTATACGAATTGGTACAAAATTACCTTTTTTCTATCTTTCGAGCCTAAAATGCCCTTCATGTCAACCTTTTGGCTCTATTCTTCCCTCATCTTTAACAACCTACAGTAAAACCTCTATAAATTAATATAGGTGGGACCATGAAATTTTATCATTTTATAGAAATATTATTTAATTAATAAATTAATATTTATTAATTTAAAGAAATATGGTTGAGATTTAATGAAAGTTAATTTTGATTATATCAAAATCATTATATCTTACTAATTTATGTATCATATTTATTGATTTCACATAAAAAAAATATACATAAAGTACAACAAATACATCAAAATTATTGTATCTTACTAATTTCAACCTTGTGATGCTGGATAATAAAAGCTTTCAAGATGCATTATCGTAACATATTTTAACGTAGAATATTAGAAGGCTATG